AGCTGTCGTCAAGAGGTCACATCTGGCCGCAGTTCCCTCAATTTTATTTCCGTTGAAATACTTTGGGGAATCTGGTAAAAGCTGTCGTCAAGAGGTCACATCTGGCCGCAGTTCCCTCAACTTTATTTCCGTTGAAATATTTTGGGGAATCTGGTAAAAGCTGTCGTCAAGAGGTCACATCTGGCCGCAGTTCCCTCAACTTTATTTCCGTTGAAATACTTTGGGGAATCTGGTAAAAGCTGTCGTCAAGAGGTCACATCTGGCCGCAGTTCCCTCAACCTTTATTTCCTCGATTTTAAAAGTCTAAATTGATCATTATACACCTTAACTATATGTATGATCACACTTAGAGAATAAGTAATACCTGGATCATGTGTCATTCGTAAGTATCTGTAGGGGCTTTGAAAAATCGCGGACTGTCCAAGATCCAGATGGATTATACAATATGGGGACTGTATATAGGTCTGAAACAATGATCAATGTATTTAGAAATGTTCCAAAACTCTCCGGTAGTCAGGACTACAAGAAATACCTAGTTTGAGTAGTATTCCAAGCTAAATTGTTAACTAAATAAAACATTATCTCTAGACTTTTGTTTTTTTCAGCCATTTCGCCCTTTATACTTAATTTCCGGAAAATTACGCCAAACTCAAATAACTGAAATGTTTGTCTCCACAGTGAAAACTCAAGTAAGCGAAACGTTGTCCGTGATATTATACAATAAACGATGGTAAATTCAAAAACCGAAACGGCGCCCGTGAGACTACAGTGAATGATGATTCAAACAACGACAACGTCGCCGTGAGACTACAGTAAAATCCATCCATAGAAAATGCTTTGGGTTCATTACGCTACATTGTCAGGCACTGAACCACAATGTCAATTGCATTCATATCTGTTATCTGATCTGGCGAGCGAGAAGCACGTGAGATACTTTTAACTACTACGGTGTGTTCACTATGAGTGGCTTTACTAATATTAATAAAGCTTGTTAGTCGTTCAGGGCCACATGTTTACATCTACAGAAGTGCTAAGCCTAACGACGTCTGGGTGTGACTTTCTGCGAAGGACCCCTACGACTGGTCGCATCATATATAATATCATAATCTCAGTCCTGGACACACACACACACACAAACAGGTACCAACACAGACTGGGTTATCTGCTGTGCCCACCGTGGGGAATAGAACCCCGGATTTTAGCGTTGTAAGTCCGTAGACTTACCGCTGTCCTACCAAGGACCCCTACGACTGGTCGCATCATATATAATATCATAATCTCAGTCCTGGACACACACACACAAACAGGTACCAACACAGACTGGGTTGTCTGCTGTGCCCACCGTGGGGAATAGAACCCCGGATTTTAGCGTTGTAAGTCCGTAGACTTACCGCTGTCCTACCAAGGACTCCTACGACTGGTCGCATCATATATTTTTACGTTTAAATACCCAAATACTGTGTAGTCATACGCGGAATACATCTAGGAAAAAATGCTTGTACTCTTTTAAATTACAAGAAACCTAAACACGTTAACATATCACTCAAGCCACAATTCAAAGTTCGAGAAATGGTCTGAAGTTACCTTGTGACAGGTATCGGATCTGCTTGACAGCTGTGTTCATTTTAATGTCCAGTCCTTCAGCCAGTGCAACAGGAACGCAAGAGTAGCCATTCCGTACTGCAAAGAAAACATATGAAACGTAATTATTTTAAGAGATTTTATATCCTTGCTGACCAGTTAATAATTAAAACAATAACATTAATCAATCTTATTTTCGGTTCAGTACAACATAATGGATAAAATTTATAAACCACTAACGGTTCAGTACAAAATAATGGATAAAATTAAAAACCATTAATGGTTCAGTACAAAATAATGGATAAAATTTAAAAACCACTAACGGTTCAGTACAACATAATGGATAAAATTTATAAACCACTAACGGTTCAGTACAAAATAATGGATAAAATTTAAAAACCACTAACGGTTCAGTACAAAATAATGGATAAAATTTATAAACCACTAACGGTTCAGTACAAAATAATGGATAAAATTAAAAACCACTAACGGTTCACTACAAAATAATGGATTTCAGTACAAATTAATGGATAATAATGAATAAAATTTAAAAACCACTAACGGTTCAGCACAAAAATAATGGATAAAATTTAAAAACCACTAACAATTCAGTACAAATTAATGGATTAAAATCTAAAAACCACTAACGGTTCAGTACAAAATAATGGATAAAATTTAAAAACCACTAACGGTTCAGTACAAAATAATGGATAAAATTTAAAAACCACTAACGGTTCAGTACAAAATAATGGATAAAATTTAAAAACCACTAATTTCTCAAGAGCTGAATGAAGAAAGAAATACACGTATTCGGGTGACCTGGAATTACGATAACATGTCTAAGAGAGTGCTCTCCCTGGTGACTTAAAGGTAAGTTTGACGGCTTAAACGATAGAATGTACGGTTCGATACCTGTACTTAAAAGCAATCGTAATAGAATGATCGGATTTTATAGAATTAGATATTAATTTTTCTATTCCAAAATATATTTTTTCTACGTTGGGTGCTGACAGTCACAACTTTAGCCACATCTTACAGTTCTCAATTTTAGTCATTTCATAGCGTAGCTGTGACACCTTACAGTCACAACTTTAGCCACATCTTACAGTTCTCAACTTTAGTCATTTCATAGCGTAGCTGTGACACCTTACAGTCACAACTTCAGCCACATCTTACAGTTCTCAACTTTAGTCATTTCATAGCGTAGCTGTGACACCTTACAGTCACAACTTCAGCCACATCTTACAGTTCTCAACTTTAGTCATTTCATAGCGTAGCTGTGACACCTTACAGTCACAACGTTAGCCACATCTTACAGTTCTCAACTTTAGTCATTTCATAGCGTAGCTGTGACACCTTACAGTCACATCTTTTGTTTCATGGCGTAGCTGTGACACCTTATAGTCACAACTTGAGCCATAACTTTTGTTTAATAGTGTACCCTGACACTTTTAGTCACTACTTTTGTTTGTTATTTTACCCGTGACACCTTACAGTCACAAATTTAGCCACAACTTTTGTTTCATGGCGTAGCTGTGACACCTTACAGTCAATAGTTGAGCCACATCTTTTGTTTCACGCCGTAACTGTGACACTTTACAGTCACAACTTTTGTTTCATTGCGTAGCTGCAACACCTTATAGTCACAACTTTAGCCACACCTTTTGTTTCATAGTGTACCCGTGACACCTTACAGTCACAACTTTAGTTTCGTAGTGTAGCTGTGATACATATCTTCCACGTTGGGCCTCCGAAGTTTTAAACGAAACATAACGACTCGTGACGTCGACTTTAGCCCTGATCCTAATTCCTCGAACGCACGGACTTCTTTTTGTTAAGGTTGACCGCGACTAATCGATGACTTCAGGTGGTGCATTAAAGACGCCAAAACTATCGTAACGCTAGCCGCAGTATTACATGTAGCTACAACTTATGCACGCATGACAAAAGGAACATGTTGAGTATATCGGGGGTGTTTTTTTTTATTTATTAAACTTTCAGCGTGTGTCTACGGAGCGGCAAACGTCGATACGGTCGTGTGTGAACATTTGGTTCAATGACGTTTTCATTTCGAAAATAAAAATTCTCCACGAAAAGAAGAAGAAGAAACAACTACTGAATATATGTGGTTAACGTACAATTTAATATGATTTTTTTTCTTTTTGGAAATTGGGCAAAAATTTATTATCACAATTCAAAATTCCCACAAGCCCATCTAGGTTGATGATAGACACAGTTATCCTATCAACTTCCACAAGTCCATCTAGGTCGATGATAGACACAGTTATCCTATCAAGTCCCACAAGCCCATCTAGGTTGAAGATAGACACAGTTATCCTATCAAGTCCCACAAGCCCATCTAGGTCGATGATAGACACAGTTATCCTATCAATTCCCACCAGCCCATCTGGGTCGATGATAGACACAGTTATCCTATCAACTCCCACCAGCCCATCTAGGTCGATGATAGACACAGTTATCCTATCAACTTCCACAAGTCCATCTAGGTCGATGATAGACACAGTTATCCTATCAATTCCCACCAGCCCATCTGGGTCGATGATAGGCACAGTTATCCTATCAACTCCCACAAGTCCATCTAGGTCGATGATAGACACAGTTATCCTATC